ATAACACGTACATACAGTAGGAGGCAGGGACTATTTTTAAGCCAGGGGCAGAAATTGACCATTAGAACAAAATAGCTTGATATCCAAGTCTTCTAATGCTACTCCCCTGTTAGGGAGTAATGTTGTAAAATACTTGCAATACCTCAAAATCTCCCAACATGCTTTACAATTGGCCACGGAGGTTATGCATGTGACTCAACAGTACATGGAGGCCATTCACTTCCCTCTGAAAAGCAACAGTCAGCATATGCAATTGTGCATTCGTCATGGGAAAAATATGGCCAAAATACTCAAATTAAGAAGAGATGTTGTGAAATTGTACTTAATCACAATTTTTCACGGACTGATGATGACTAACGAGGTGAGGAGGGTTATATCATAGCTTTTCTGAGATATTAAGCCGTTTTTTTCTCGCAGTATTACAGATTTACACATGTACCAGCAGCCACCTGCCAGTCATAGTGTTGAGGGAGGCGGTATCATGTGATAAAGTAAAGTCAGTGCATATCCTCTGTGAATGAAGCCTGACCAATCAGTGAACTGGATGAGGCTGCTGCTAGCACACTCCACTTGGTTACTCAGTATATTCAGACATGGATCCCCATAGATATTCAATATAATTAGTCTCCTACAGATCCATTTTCATGTCAGAGGAAAACACTAAAAAGGCCTTTTGTCCAATGAAGTAGATAAGGCGTTATTGTAAAGCTCTCTGACCAGCCTACTTTCAAAAACCTCAGCACACACTACACTGTAAGGCACATAGACGAAGCAACATTTCTGAGCAAACTTTGTAATTGCTCTGCGCTCCAGTGTAGTTGATACACAATTGTTGAGTTAATAAGTGAGCAATTAAACATGGGGGAATTCTGAGCCAGATTTCCACTAGACAAGAGAAAATGGGCAAGCATGCGGAAAACATCACATTTACAAAATCTTTCTGAGTATAAGGAAAGGTTTATCAGAGAGCAAAATCAAGGCAATGCAAACCCGCTTACTGGACAAAACAAGACTCAGTTGTGACGACATCAACAATAGAGTGCCATTCAGTGCACAGACCACAACATAAAAAATGAAGGAAGTAAGAAAACACAACTGATCGTTTACCGTGCAGTTCTACTCACCTTTAGGGCTTGAGCCAGTTTGGCCCGTGGCACTGCTCTGCTCCTAAAGCAGCCTGGATGGAGTGTTGGACCACACTGCACATGTGATCGAAAGGGTTCATAGATCCGTACGTCTCAATGTCTCCCAATAGGACCATCCCCAAAGAACCAGAGAAGACTTCAGGGTCAGCCAGGATGAAGACCCTGCAGGGATTTACATGACATGTTGAGTGATGGACAGGGAAGGAAGTTTGACTATATGCAGCAGCACGAGAACATAAAATAGGCATATCATATTTGGAAATCATCACTCACACAAGGCTTTTATTGTACCCAGAGACATGTGATTATATTTATGGCTCACCTATCCTGGAAGGGATAGTGCTCGTTCTTTAGTCTCTGCTCCGCTGTGACCATCCTTTGGTACATCAGACCTGTGGATCAAACGAGTATTTAATGACAGTATGTGGTTAATTATTCCTATTAATTATTCCAGGTATGCCACAATACCTGGAATGGAGCGTTCAGTTTTGATCTGCCTGGTGTAGCTGAGGCCTACGGTGCAGTAGGGATGAGGATAGGTGAGGAGTCTCTTGCAGAAGTCATAAACCCGCTTGTACAGCTCATCTGGAATGTAGGCTGTCTGGAATATCAACAAGCACACAAACACACTATTGATAGAATATAATTGGGAGGGATGAAACCCTCTTTAATGGTCACACATGCAGAGCACACAGCACACACAGTGAAATGTGTTCTCTGCATTTAACCCATCCTAGCACCAGGAGTCTAGTACCAGGAGCAGTGGGCAGCTATTGTACAGCGCCCGGGGAGCAATGGGAGTGAGGGGAGAAGGGAGGTGTCCGGTGCCTTGCTCAAGGGCACCACAGCAGGGCAGGAGGAGAACTGGGACCTCTCCAAGTAGCAGTCCACACTCCATATTTTTTAGGTCTGGTCGAGGACTTGAACCGGCGACCCTACAGCTTCCAGTCCAAGCCCCTACTGACTGAGCCACTGCCGGACAATACAACTAATGCTGGGAAAACATAATTTTCCTTTTACCGCCTTAAAAGTCCCCTATTATACTGTTTTTCATCAATATATATAGGTCTTAGATATATACAAAACAAGTCCCTGAAGTGTTTGGCTGGAAATACCAAACAGATCGTGCATTGGAGCATCCCATAAACCCCTCTGTTTCAGCCCTGTTTCAAAAGTGCTGATTCTCTGTCAAAAAATAAGGTGCCACTCCCCACGCCCCTCTGCAAGATATTTGGTTAAAAAGAACACAATGGTGTTCTAGCAAGAGATTCAGGTGATAAGGTGGTGGGGGGGGGGGGTTACCTTGGTTGGTGATTGGCTAATGGTACACAAGCCAAAAAATCGTTATGACATTATAAATTGGCCAAAATCTGATAATTTTCAGACAGGTTTTTATATAAATGGATCAGGACAAAAAGTGAGCGAATCTTTTTTTATGAAACTTTCAGAATCCCTTTACACAGTTATGTATAAAAGACATGACAAAGTGGATTTTGCATAATATGTTACCTTTAAGCTGATCTTATCTGACTAAGCAATCATCATATGAATGTTGGTCCAACACAACGAAAAACGATACAGATCGGCTTACACGCCATCTTCTCAGGTTTCCACTTCCTTGTTGACATTTCCCCAGAAATAAAAATACATCCTCCTCATGTAGGTACTTTTGCAGAAACGTCCTTCATTGCATGTCTTAAAACCATTGTGTAACTTCATGGCATACCAATCCAACACAGTCTGGGAACAAACTGGTGGATTCTGTGATTCTCTTTCATGGTAAAAAAAAAAAGGACTAAAGGGACTGGAGACAGTTACAGAAACAATCTTCTAGGTATAGCTGTGGAAACTGATTAAGCAAAGCATTTCATAGATAATGTTAATGACATGAAACAGTAAGTGTAAGTGTAACAATGTTTGAGGAAAAACCCACCTGAATAATGGCATACATCAGTGTGTGGAGCAGAGGGATGATAAACCTGCGAGAGTCCCATCTCTCAGCCTGAAGAGAAACACACACACTGTCAGGGTGATGACACAAGAGGACTTTCCATTGCAAATAGAACTACAATTATTATTCAATTAATCAATAGGTTGATGAAGGAAAATTATGTGTTTCAAAGACCAACCAATAGTTGATAAACTGAAAAAGGTAAATAATCGATAATGAATAAGCTTTAGTAAACCAAAGCTATCAGGTCACATATTTTAAAAGCCAGGGGTAAGTGTTTTAAAAAACGTTTTATTATAAGTATTCTTGGAAAAGTGTCAATAGTGCCACTGCTGAGATCAAATACCTTTTCCAGCTCTTTTATCAGCACCCAGACCAGAGATAAGCTGTTTGCAGGATTGTTTTGAACCTTCTTATGAAGTGTCCATCTCAGCATGCCTACACACACAGAAAGAAAAACACACAAGCCATTAACTGATGCAAGATTTCCACAAGACTAACACAAACTTGCTAAATGTGTCACACTTTTCTCCATTACGGTGATAATCCAAAAATATATCCGATGACATTACCGACATACTGCTGACACAGCTAGATGTTCTACAGCGGGATTAACACTAACAGCTGCTTTCAGTAAATATCTGTTCAGGGAGGATTACGGGATGGGATTGCTGTTTTTTGACGTCTAATCCTCATGTCCAAATATATTGAATAATGTCATTGAAAGTAAATGTATTATTTACATGGTAACGTTTTTTCCTGTTTTGTTGTTGCCATTTTTTGAAAACTATAACTATAAACCTTGTGTTAAAACACAGATATATATGTATATTGTGTACAATGTCATAAATGACTCATGAGCAAAGCCAACACTAGCAAAGAAAGACAAACTCTTTTAGGACTAAGAAAGAAAATCTTCCATATATTAATACGTTTTAATCAATTTCAGTGTGCTGCAGTATATCTATTGTTACCTTTGTTGAGACAGTCTGGAGAAAGCTGGTTGTCCGTTTCCCTGGGCAACACAGCCTGGATGCTGCGGTACAGTTCAGGCTCTGGGACAGTGGGGGAGCAGCGGGCTGGCAAAAAAGCAAACGGCTGATTATCAATAAATGCTCGTTACCAAGTACCGGTTATTGCGTGTATTCTTTCATGTTGCGGGTCTCAGCACGAGCCACTACCGCGGAGTGGAGGTTGGGGGCGTAACAACATGTCCAAGACACTGTGAAATGTACTTTGCACTTCAATGGAGTAATACAAAGTTAAAATGGACATTTCCTTTGTTTTTCTTTGTTGATTGAGCCGATTCAATTGTGTAGTTATGGTAAAATCCCAGTTAACTAGTCAAATTTACAATATATTATCGTATTATTTACATTTGTATATTTACAGTAAATTACTGGCTACTGTGTTGCATTACTTCTACAGTAATAGTGTGAAAATGCAGGTAATTACTGTAATTTATGTACAGCAAGGTACCATAATACCACAGCTCTGTACTGCTATATCACAGTAATTCCATGGGCATGGAAACTGTAAAGTCACAGTATGTAGTTGTACTTTTATTCTAATTTACTGTAAAATATCTACAGTCAATTACTGTGAAATCCATGCAACTAGTAGCCAGTAATTTACTGTAATTTTACAGCCAAACATTTTACAGTGTAGGCATGCCAACTTGATGCTCTGTTCACGGATGATCATAACAAAACTGTTAAGATGATGATGATGACCTTGTATGTGTGTATATATTTTCTTTGAGGGGGTCTGCCCCCACAAAACAGCTTTAAGACCTGAGAAAGTAAAATAAGACGGTGTGTAAAACTACACTGCCAAAAAAAAGTAACCACTTTGATTTAACTAGGCCAAGGACTTTCCACTGGATAATAACTGCAGCGATGTATATGTTTTAGCTGAATACACGTTTTTTAACTGATGCAGTTAGTCACTTCTTTAATGTTTGTTCTTTCTGATGTAAAGTCAAGGTTGTAACTATTTGCAATACAGTCGTGGGGCGCTGAATTGTTCCTGTGAATCTTTTGAATTTTGATATATGATAGTAATTACTTGTCTTTCAAATTTGAAGGAGGGTGAGCAAGCTTCTTCAGGAACATTCATCATTAACTCCTCCAAAAAAATATAGTTTATTTAATAATAACACTGAATATGTGAATCATAAAAGTGATTGACAGCTGATAGGAAGAATATGATTGTTAATATTATCATATTCATTCAGACAAACATCGATGAGCCAGTTAATTAATGTACTTATTGCAGCAGTCTGCATAGATTTGGTACCCCTGCTGGTCTAAAAGTGAAACAAACTCATTCAGTTATTGTTAATTTAAAATTCATTAAATTATGTCTGCCACCTTATATATTTATATTTAAGGATTTACTGTTGTGCCACAATAATGTCACCTAATGTTATCGAGTTAAAATATCAATATTGTGGCTTTCCAAGTTAACATCGATTGATATGACTGCGATTAAATCAGCATATACTTCTGCCAGGGGATGCCACCCCTCAAAATCTCCTGCCACCCTCTTGCCAGCCCATGAATATTTGTCTAGATCCGCCCCTCTTCTGATCTGATTCTGAACTACAATGCTCAACAGCTCGCTTAACGGAACTTTGACTTTGGTATCTGTAAGAGAATATTTTCATCTGATCTGTTTATAGAGTCTTTTATGGTTCCTTAGAGTCTGTGATACTGCAAACATCTGCTTGTAGTCAGTCAGAGACTTCTCTGTAGGTTGAGGTCACAGGTCAAACGCTTCTCCTATGTCCGAGGGTTGACCTGGCAGCATCTCTTTGAGACAAGCAGATCATTGTCTTGCATCGGCTATTGATTATACGCGGGCTTTCTGGAAGCCCGCCTCTCCTCGTGTTGGTTAGATGTTTTGTGTCTTTTGGTTCAGAGATCGCTGGTGAAACACGGGACGGTGTGCAACTAAGTGATCTCCCCGGCCGTATGTAATTAATGTACTGTGATCAATAAACTCTCGGTGCTTTTGGCTAACAACGGTTCCAGACTCCTTCATTCTACCTCAACATTGCAACAACAGAAGTTTACCTTCACAGTATCAGTTTTGTTTACCACCAATCACGGGAGTATTGTGTATAGAAAGTGTTGAGTTATATTTCTCGCGCTACCAAACATCCATGAAGGCAACATGACAGAGGGAGGGCTGTCACTCAGGATGCCAAACTACTCTTTGGTAAGCCCCGCCCCCCAAGCAACATCAGGGCCAAAAGTTTAAAAGCGAAAAAAAATCTGAAGGCAAAAAAAAATTTGAAACCTGAAAAAACAAGATTTGAAACTGAAAAAAATAATGGTTTGAATCTGAAAATGTAAAATCTGCAACTAAAAAAAATAAGGATTCAAATACTGTATCAAAATATGTAGAAAAGTAAAATATGAAAATAAATATTTTATTCAAAAAAATTGCTGAACTGAATCAAAAATAATATTCAACCTGAAAAATTATTTAAAATACTTATTTTTATTTTGTATTTTTCAAAGTTCAGGATAAAAACTTTAACTATAATAATAAATTGTATTTTTTTGAATGATCAAAACTTATGACCTCCATACCTCCTTATAGCTCCATACACCATGAGCAATTATGAGATGTATGTTATAGGGAGTAAATAACATTTAAAAGTCAGAGGCAATGTACCAAATGTCTACAGATAACCAAGTGCGAATCCAAGAGGACATTTGAGGATTCCAGGAAGATCCATTGCATATCAGCATCATCTGCATAAAGTGTGTGTGTGTTGTGTTGTTACCTGTTGGCTCCATGCTGCGGATACTGCTTGAGCTATCCCAGGGGTCCCTGTTGGTCATGTCTCACGTGCATTGTGGGTCTATCATCTTTATCAGAAAAAATACATGGACAGGAAGAGTCAGTCCAGAGGGTAGGAATACCTGCTTCACACTACATGTGGGTCAGTGGAGTGCTTTTCTTTTTTCTGTCTGCTTGCTGACAGCAGAGTGTAAAATAACAGTGTTCAAAGGCGGGCTGACAATAATATCATTTCTACAGTACCTGCATGGGACTCGATATGTTTCTTTTTTTGTATACCTGTGTGAAATATATTGCCTCCAGTTAACATGTAAGCAATGCTGAAGGATTACATGATTGAATAATTAAAGTTTAGTGTTTCAAGTTTTCCCCCACAAACGGCTACACACAGACACATATTCAAACTGAAGGTGCTGCAGTCACACAGTAACACCAACACTTGTAGAAAGTGTTCCTATAAATAACCTCGTTTTACTCTTCAGCTTCTTAATTTTTTCTCAGGTCCCACACAGGTTTATGAGTCACCTCTGAAACCTCCGCAACACTAAATTCATAGTTTGGTCAAATCTACCTTAACACGAACACCCACTTGATAAGTTCCAGTTGAAATGTATTTATACACCATAAATGAAGCTTTTAAACCACAACAAACACTATGTGCTAATTTGATTCCTGTCACCATGTAGGAACACAATGCTTTGATCCTATTTAGGAAAATTCTTTAAAGATCTACTATTTTGCTCTAAACATAATGACCAAAAATGATCTTTGTATGACATATTTGACACCAAAAGGCTGACCATAACCTTAGAGTAAAGTAAGCACCAGAAACGTATCATATCAATTCTCACTGACACAAACACGATCTTTAGAAAATAGACAGAAAGCTGTTTTTTAATACTCATTATTTAACATTTAAGCCAGCAATAATGCGAAATCAAACGATCAAGATGTATATCTGTCGCATCACACAAGGCATCAACACAACTGAAACCATCCTCATCCATCTCCCACTGCCCAGGTCTACCAGTCAAAGTATAACAGGCGTGAAGTAGAGATAACATTACATAAACTTACCCTGTGCAGGCACCGACCGACCAGTCCTGCAGGTCTTTTACATACACACACTGCGCTGTGTGTACTGAAACTAACAAGTGTGTGATGGAGAGAGAGAGAGAGAGAGAGAGAGAGAGAGAGAGAGAGAGGGAGGGAGAGGAGAGGGAGGGAGGTGCTGTGAACGAGTCATTGCAGAGAACATTTCCTCTTGTGTGACGGTGTGAGGTGTGAGGTGTGTGCGTGTGCGTGTGCTGTGTGGCGTGAGGAGAGTTGAAGAAGGACAGTGAGAGAAGAAAGAGGGGGGGGGGGGGGAGTGTTTCTATGTGGTCGGAGTGGTGTAAAGACCTCTGACTCGCACAACAGGGGGCGCACCACACACACACACACACACACACACACACACACACACACACACACACACACACACACACACACACACCACACACACACACACACACACACACACACACACACACACACAACACACACACACTACACACACACACACACACACACACACACACACACACACACACACACACACACACACACACACACACACACACACACACACACACACACACACACACACACACACACACACACACACACAACACACACACACACACACACACACACACACACACCACACACACACACACGCACACACACACACACACACACACACACACACACACACACACACACACACACACACACCACACACACACACCACACACACACACACACACACACACACACACACACACACACACACACACACACACACACACACACACACACACACACACACACACACACACACTAAAATTAAAGGATTTGGTGATGGATTAACCTTGATCTCTCTCAGAAAAGCAGTACTTTCAGAAACAGCGAGTTAGCAGCGCCGCTGCCTCAGCAGCTGAACGTTTGACCACAAGTTTCCGGTTGCCTCTGGTGTGTTCATTGTTTGTCTCTCTGTCTTATATCGGGGGTCTATGGTGTACATGATGTGTCAAAGGAGTGTTTCTGTCTTTTATCACTCTTCTTCATACATTAAAAAACAGACTGGATGGAATTGATCAACAGAACAGTTTGGATACACAAATTATAATGTGCATTTCCCACACATGCATGCAAAAATGTTCTCATGCAAGTATGGTCTCTTGCCTGCACACATATGCAAACTTACACACTCTTTTAGACTTTGACGGAAACTATTAATGCAGTGTAGGAGCTGACACATACGCAGCATTTCCTCTCTGTCAGAATGAGTGGGCAGACAACACGCTATTTTTAGACAGAGAGAGAGAGACAGAAAGAGAGAGAAAAAAAGAAAACACTTATCTTAAAACTAGATGCATCATCTAATTCACAACCATTCCAAATAACTAGCTTAGAAAAACCACAGTCTGCAGAAAGTCATAGAAAATGTTCTTCTTAAAACACAAAAGCACCAACAGCTTTTTGTTGGATGTTGAAAGCTCTTACTATTGTAAATTATGTAAATATAAGTCTGTATTTTGATAAACTTCTGTTCAAAGTTCCCATGCTTATTTGTGTATATCTTATACAAAGACTTTATCTAATCTTACAAGCACAATTTAACTGACAAACGCCAGTAGAAAGGGAATTTGAGTTTGTTTAAACTACATTAAGTAATCAAACACAACTAAGTTAAACACTCTGTGTATGTGGTGAGGTAAGATCACTGGGAATTAATGTACTAAGACAAAGCACTTAAAGAGGAAATATTATGCTAATTTTAAGGTTTTGTTTTTGTATTTTGTTTACATTCTTTAAAAAGGGTGCTTTACTCATACTGCCTGTGCTACAGCACCTCTTTTCACCCTCTGTCTGAAACCAGAGCCCAGTCTGCTCTGATTGGTTAGCTGGCCGGCTCAGTTGTGACTGGTCAACCCCTTAGAGATGTGTTGGCAATGCCCCTCCTCTTAGCCAATCACGTACAATGTGTTGGAGCGCTAACCAATAGAAGCGTGAGTGTTACATGGTGAAGTAAACAGAGTCCAATCAAAACACAGGCATGGGAAAGTGCATGTGAGTTTACAGCTCCAAATATCACCAATCACAGTCAATCCTTTGACCTTTCTTAACTACATAACTGTGAACCTTACAGCCATATTCCACCATTTTATCAAAGTGGTCAGGTATAGACTACATAATCCCAAACTTCCTTCATTTTGTTTGTACACGTCGTTTCTTTTGCCACATTAGTGCCAGTAAAATCTTTCAAAACACAGAGAGAAGTACAAATAGAAAGACCACAAGACCACTCGTTGAACCTTTACAGTTAACGACGTGAAATAGTTCCTGATACGCCTACACCTTATCTACTCGGGCAGTCATCGGCATGCATCACAGTGGTCAACTGGAGTCATAAACAATGTGGCCAAACAGAAATAAACAGGGGCAGTCATTTCCGTTCAGGCACGCTGAAAACAGGAAGGACCTGACAGCGACGTGTGGAAGTGCGTTCGTAGAGCAAGAGAAAGGTGGTGCTGCGGTGGGGGTGTATGTTTTCTTGATTGGAAACCCCCAACCTAAGATAGCATGGGGTGTATTGACACAGATGGGCATAGAGCTGGACAAAGAGGAAGACAAGGAAAGCACCTGCAGAGTGTATCCCCTAAACAGCAAGCATGCAATACCTGAAACTAAAGTACAGTGTGACAGCACTTGCATTTCCACATAGGGAAGTGTACTGTGTGTTTAAAGGAGTTTCTGGTAAAGCCAACATCATGAAATTCCTTTTTTAGTTTCTTTCTCAAGGAGATAACAAAAATGACACTGTAAATCTGGAGAGGAAGAAGTAGCTGAATGGCTGCTTCGCTTCCCTTTTCTCTCCATATCTCCGCTGAGAGTTTGAGCTACAAATCAGTCAAACAGCCGAAACAGCATGTCATCCTGCTCTAAACAGACTGTTTTTCTTTTACCTTTGATAAGAACCATCTACAAAACTCAACGCTGTGATAAACAAACATGCAGAAAAACACACATATTGACCTTCAAAAGTTGCAAAGAAACTTGTTTAACTTTTAATTTAGTGTGAGCAACAGGGGATAAGTGATTTCCTGTATCGGACAATATGAGGAAGTCTTCTTGGACCGGTGTGTGTGTGTGTGTGTGTGTGTGTGTGTGTGTGTGTGTGTGTGTGTGTGTGTATAAAACTGCCTTGCCTGACTGACCAGGGATTATTTCCTCCTCAGGGACTACAGAATGTATACACACACAAATGGCCAAAATGTGCAACAAACAGAAAAATATGTCTTGAAAAGCTTCAATAATTGTTCTAATTGGAGGAGCTACTGTAAAAAAAATATCCAATCCAAGGCATGAATGGACAGCGTAAGGATGTACTGTATGCCACTGGAGTAGTGTGATAAACCATCAGGGGGAGGAAGGCAGATAGGAAGAAGTAGGGATACAAAGGGGGTTTCCCAAGAAAAGTGTAGTGTGTGTGTGTGTGTGTGTGTGTGTGTGTGTGTGTGTGTGTGTGTGTGTGTGATGTGTGTGGTGTGTGTGTGTGTGTGTGTGTGTGTGTAGTGTGGCCTAGCATTACTATACTTGTGGGGACCTAAATCTGTTTACCACAGTCACGTGTGGGGGACTCGCCTCCCTTATGGAGACAAATTGGAGGTCCCCATGAAGGGAATCATTAATGTTAGGTTGAAGACTTGTTAGGTTTAGGATTAGGGGTTAGGGTAAGGGTAAGGTTAGGGTAGGGTTAGGGTTAGGCATGTGTTTGGTTAAGGTTAGGATAAGTCTCCAGGAAATGCATGTAAGTCATGTAATGTCTCCTGAAGTGATGTATACATGGTGTGTGTGTGTGTGTGTGTGGTAAATTCCTATGTACATACAGCTGAATCTACTTTGCTGTGACCTAAAAAAAAAGGCCTTAATAGTTTAAAATAGTTTTTTCTGAGCTTTGAACTTACAGTACATTAGGGCTGCACGATATTGAAAAAAACTGACATTGCGAATTTTTTCCCCC